TCAATAACTGCTATGCGCGCAGATAATTTTGTTGCTGTTTATTCCAAAAACTGTCAAAATATTATTCAAAAATTTGATTCAGCGCGTGCTATTCAAATTTATCAAAATAGAAAGAGATTAATTCCTATTATTCAAACAATTATTATTTATGGGCGTCAATAAACAGCTTTACGCGGTACTAGCGATTACGGACCTCTCTCTTTAAACAATTCTGAACCTACTTACAATGATGGTGACTTCCGAGCATTATTGAGAATGCGCATTTCGTGTGAAGATAAAAATCTAACATATCACATTAAGAATCAAGCGTTAAATGCTTCATATATAAGTCCTATGATACAAAATAATTTTATAAATATATGTGCAAAAATTATACAAGAGTTAGTTATCAAAAATGTATTAATCAGGCAAAATGTTTTTCTGTTTTTATAGTCGACGAGACAACTGACGTATCTCGTGTTGAACAACTGTCATCGTGTGTACGTTATTTAGACAATAATTTAAATATTGAACAAAATAAAATCAACAATTATGTATTGAAAGAACACTTCTTACAATTTTTACCGGTAAATTCTACCACTGGTCAAGTTTGGCCACAGTAATTCTAGTTACTTTAAAAAATCTTGGTATAAAATGTGACTATTTACTTGGCCAAGGCTATGAAGGAGCCGCAGCCATGAGTGGTAATGCTCTTAGTTTAAAATAATATGATTTTTATTTTTTATTTTTATTTCTTAATTTTATATTTCATATTTGTATAGTGTAAGATGTCAAAGTAATTTTGTTTATTTGATTTTATTATATTTTAATAAAAGAAGATTAAATCTTTTTCTGTCTTATGTTTAATCAAATATCAAAAGTCAAAATCTAAATTCAATAAAATTACAATATACATGTTTTGGACCCCCCCCCCCCCCAAAAAAAAAAAAAAATTCTAGATCTAAGTTCTTATATGCTCCGTTATACAAAAAGCTGTTGTACTGTTGAGTGGATACCTATAAAATATGAACTAATTTCTTAAGGTTTTTGACCTATAAATTGCACTATGCATCTATTAATCATGAGGTGTAGATGATGAAAAATTATTACACCATCGTTTAAAAATAATTTATGAGTAATACGACAAATCTAAAATTTAAATGTCAAGTACATGTTTTAGTAGATATAAATAGTTTTGTACCAACAAATTTAAAATGCTGTCGGACTTGAAACTTGAAATAATTTAGGACAGAACTGTTTCTGGGTCATGGACTCCTTTGAAGTATAAATTATAATCAATTAATAATTTTAAAAGTTAATGCATTATTACATTATTGTGAATAATCACTTTAGTGACCGTTATAGAAAATTCAAAATCTAGAAACGCAGAGATATAATATGTAGTAGAGAATAGAATAAAAATGTTATTGCCCTAGATACAGCTCAGTGCTCACAGACATCCGTGGTGTTTGTCAACGCACACCAAAATTTAATTAAATTATTTGTTTGACAATCTTGTGATCTTTTGATTTTAAATCAAAATATTCATCTTTAATGAGGTCTGAATCATTAATTACTGATATTATTAAATATACTTTACTATTAATGTATATTCAAATCCACAAGAAAAAAATATTCGGAAACTTAGAAATATTAACGACTGTTAGCGTAAACCTAAAAAAAATTACAAATAAACATTCAATAAGCTTCATAATGAAAATGTTCAGTTTCTACTTTAACTGATGGTCTTAATTGATCAAATAATATGAATTAATTTCAAACTATTTTATTTTTGGGTTATTTTAAAAAACTTACAGCCATCCCGTGGACCCCCGAGTAAACATCTATAATAGGGATATAGGGTCCGGTTTAGGGAAATGTCCCGGGAAATGGGACACAATGAACATTTTTGCAAAAAGGTAGAGGTACCGTAATTTAGGACACTATTTTCTTTTTATTTTATTATTGAATCCAGAATGCAATGATTCTATTAAAATTAGAAACGTATAGGAATATTAAAAACGAGAAAACGAATTGTAATTTGATAAAGAATTATATTATTGATGAAATTGTTAAACCATTAATTTTCGATAATTCGATATTTAATGATTATTTTATTTTAATATTATTATTTTACGTTAAGACATTTTTAAATTCTATAGTAAATAAACAATATTTTATTAAAGTACCTCCCTACTCATATACGGATTACGGAAGGTTCATAGTCAATATAGTACCTGTCACTCAACCCCCCCCCCCCAAATTGTGCCACTAACTATGCAACACTATACCAGCCATGCCCTCTCTTTGATCCACCCTTAGAAAAAATTCTTTTAGGTATTGCGAAATGATCGACGAAATACAGTTGAACAGTCGTTTTACTTATATTATGTTAACAAATGTAAGATTAAACTGTTTTTATTTTACCCTCGTAATTATTTAAGGTCACGTAAATTATTATAGTCAGCTGCTCAATAATAACGTTCTAGTTTTAGTTCACTACTTGTTTGAAATTGTAGACTAATAAATACATTTTTCAGCCATGTATTCTGGATATGTTTGTGGAAAATTAAAAGCATTACTTAAACATCGGGAACACTGATTTTTTCAATTTGATTATACTCTCACGAGTGTTAGTTTGTTAAAAAAATAACGAATAGTGTATACCGGCAGCGCTGTGTGACGATAAGTGTTTGAACTAGGTACATCAAACGCTTATCGATTTTTAAACTGTATAGTGGGGTTGAGTTGGTAGGGTAGTCAACGCCTTCGCTGACAAATTACTTTTCCATTTTTATCGTCAAAGTCGTCAAAGCGTATCAACGCGTATTGTGGTTGTGGCGAATTTGGTGAGTGCATTTGATTCATTTTATTTATACTTTATACTTTAATACATTTCATTTATACTTTATATACCGTTCAGAAAACTAAGAATAGATGGCAGTATTTATCGATTTGGCCACTATTTGAGCGAATACAGTGTCCCGCCGACCGTCGTCCCTACGGCTTAGGTCTGTCCATACATATTATAATTGCAAACTTAGGTAAAGAATATTTTTACTAGCCATCCCGGACAAATTCTCATTAGTGCAGTTCTCAAAATTATTCAATCGATATTAGTTGGTACGGTTTTCACCAATCTATTGTCCGAGTCTCGGGGAGGTATGCATTTTTAAGTATAATTCGTCTTATAAACTACCTAGGTATCTGTTAAATCTATCATTATATAAATGTAAAATAAATTTTTATTAACGGCTAATCTAAGAGACTACCTTACCGATTTCAATAAAAGTTAAACCAAGATTCCTTGAGAATTAGTGAGTGTTTTAAGTTTAATTTTTCTACAATTATAGGGTAGCAATAACACATGTATTTTGTTTTGGCTCACGAGAAATGAATAATTTTAATGTTACAGATGTAACGTTCCTTAAATGTAACTATAGAATAATTGACCCACCTGTGGTATTTTTTTTTATAAGAGAAAATTATATTTAATTTAGTTATTATGTCTGTTATTCAAATATTATAAAACGTATAATCTTATGATTGCAGTTTATGGACTCAAAAACTGATTTTGACCAAAGTATTAAAGATAGTTCTCAGAAAAGTGTAGATTGTACCAAATTCAACAATTTATCAAGTACTTATTATATTCTATATCCCATCTCAGTCAAATTAAATATCAAATCGAGTTACACCGTTGCCAGTTTTCACGCGAACACTAAAACTGAATTAGGTACCTACACCGATAGTATATTGCTTTGTAATCCTTATTTTTACGGTGTAAGACGTAAGTGACTGTTATAGATGTGCATATTATAATGTATATAATTATTGTATAAGAAAAATGATTTTGAGTGAAGACAGTCTATCAGCCAATATTATACTAAATATATTTTATTGCCTAAATCATTAAATTTGAAATATTTTGAATACGTCATTGCGTGTATAAAATTTCATTGCTACTAAATATATTTTAAAAGTTTAAGTACCCACGAATACACTTTTTTAATTACAACAAAATAAGTAAAATTTGTAATCTTTGATTAAATAGCAAAATATGTCCAAATTTTCACTTAAAATATTTATTTAAAAAAAAACTGGGTTCATATATTTTTTAGATTTTTTTGTTTGGAGTATAAAATACTTATGGGGAACATTGATTTAAATTGTCCGTAGCTAAACAATTATACATTTTGTACTATAAAATAACTTACAAATTTTCGAGATTTTTATGAATTTTATCAACATTTAAACATTAAATGCTTATAAGAAAATCATGCATACCTAATATGTATTTTTAATATTTTAGAATTGATACTCCTATTAGAAAATTTTGTATAAGGAATCTCGTATTAAATTGTCAAGGTCTTCTCATGCCTATAAATCTCAATATCTCAAAAACAGTCAAAATAATTTAAAAATATTTTCATATATTGAAAATTGTTGTATAAACATTTGATGACAATTTAAAGTATGAACTGTTATTACATATCCCAAACGAATCACTGCCAAATTCCGTGTAATAAAAACGTTAAGTAGGTATAACAAGTTGGATTAGATTTTAAGTTGAACCAATAAAACAATGTCGATTTTATCTAAAACTGATTTGTGGTAATAATTCCCGTTTTTCTGTTTTTCTATTTTGAATAATAAAGGAAATTTTAAATTTTGACCACTTAAAAGTATAAGCTAAACCCATTTTACTACCAGAAAATGTAGAAAAATGTAGTATTTTCATTGTCCTAAAAGGTGATGACTGATGACAAACACACAAAAAATACACACACACCTATCATTGTAAAATCATTTAAATTATTTTTAAAGAAAATTTTCAAATTTTCTATGCTAGGCGTTAGTAAAACAAACTCAACACATATATTTAAGCTAATAAATTTTAATAATCATGTAACATAAATAAATTTATTATTTTTACTAAAGACTGTTTCAGAAACTATTACCTACTTACCACCAATTGTATCATCAATCTATCATTTAGTTTGCAAAATTTAACGTTCGAAATGGCTGAGACATTTGAAGATTTAGCTACACTGAATGAATTTAGTGAGACCTATCCACGAGCATCATGGTCTCCTGAAATTTATAATAAATACAAAAACGTGTACAATATTTATTTGAACATTGATTTACATTCGGTTAGTGGTCGTGGAATTTCCATTACTGCTGCTAAAGCAAATGCAATAAGGCAGTACAATGCCATCGTTTCTTCTGAAAAAATGAGTAATAGAAAAAATAAAATAGATGGTTCAGAAAATATGATGAACAATTATGCACCATCAAATTTTTTAGTTAATACATCTCATTTTGCTGAAGATACTCAGCCATCTGGTAAAGTATATAATTAAATTATCTATTTACTAAAGTTAATCAGTGGAGTATACAAGGGGGGGGCGTGTGGGTCAGATTCCCTCCCATTGGCTTTGGAGTGGCATTGGATATTGTGTTTGATGTGAATTTTGAATCAATTAAAATTATATTCATTGTTCCTTATTGTTAAATAGTTTACTACCTAAGTAAAAAGTTTTGATATGGTGTGGGATTTTCCAATTTTCCCCTCCCATTTATCTATGTTGTTTTCTTTTTTTTGATCCCCCTTCAGAAATCATAGTAATGGTTAGTAAACTAAAATCATTATATAGTCATATAAAGGCTAAAACCTACTTACCTTATATTATAAAATCTATAGACAAAATGTAAAATGTTTGTAATAATTTAATTATATTAAATTATATTATCAATAAAAATAAATATGTACATGTAAATGATTGTCAGTTAAGTGTATTTTTTAACTTTTTAACTTGTTCATGGGCAGCATACGCCATGAAATGTCTAATTTATGTTTTGATAGATAGTCATACCAAACAAATACTGTACCTATATTATTATTTTACAATGGATACCTAATTACTACCTATATCTACAAACTATTTTGCAGGCTAAATATCCATGACTCATTTTAAAAGTTTAAGGATGATTCATTTAAAATGTAATTCTTTTGATATAATACACAAACTTATTAAAATGAATTAAAACAATATTTTTTTAAGTAATAATAGAAAAAATTAAACAAAATAAAAATATGTGCCTTGGTATTTAAATTTAAATAACATATTTGTTTAGACATTTTCGGGATTTTGAAAAACTTTGTAAGAATTTTAAAACTAAAAGCTTAAAAAATCATACTGTTGTATTTTAAATATGTCTAAATTACAATAAGCACAACTTTGTGAGATTCACAATATTAAACATTTACTGTTCGACGTTTGAATTATTATTTTAGTCTATTTATAGACATTAAACATTAAACATTTAAACAAGATCTTTTTTCTATAAGCCAACCCACTAATATCTATATTACTTATTCATTATTTTAGACTGTTCCAAAAACGCAGAATCAACGTTGTCATCAACCGAAACTCTAGATCATATCGATCAACATTTTAAAAACGATAGATTACGTATATTGAGTGGTTTTGAAACAGCATATAAGTTGCTATGCCATTGGTCTTCCGTTAATAATCAATCATCCGATACAGGCAGTTCAAACATTGCATTAAACATAGGCGATTATCAATTTGAAGGCAGTGGTCGTACGGAAAATGAAGCTAAATTAGTCGCAATAAAGAAGTTCTATTCAAGCCATGTCGATAACTTTTTTGAAATAAGTAATCAAAATAATGAAGCTGAAACTGTAGAAACATTGGGTAATACACCATCGAATGACCAAGGAAATTTAACTCATGGTGCAGATACTAAACCATCAGGTAAAGTATAATATCATATTGTTCATTAATTTGGTTGCCCAATGGAAACTAATTTTGTACAATAAATTTTATATAAAAAAAATTAGAATTTTTATAATTATATTGTTATGTAATATACTTGTGACCACATCAATAATTTTAAAATTATTACATATTACAATTTTGTTTTATATTATTGACAAACCAATTTAACTGTCAGTATAGATAGAACAATGATGCATTTAAATCAAGACAAAAAAGCTTTTGTAAAAAATACTTTGATATGTTCGGATGTTTCTAAAAATATAGGTAGGTAGGTAGGTACTTCAATTAATTGAAAGTAATGATAAAATATCACACTTTAATTAATAAGAACCAAAAACAAATGCACCCAATTAATGTTGTTTTACCTATGCGTACCTACTAATGTGTCAAGTTTTATATTTATAAATCAATATTATAAGTAAGTATTGAAGTATTCAGAAAAAATATTTAAATAATACAATATTTTCCAGCCTTATTAATATAACAGAATATTATATTGTTGAATTATTAATTTTGGTTAATGATACATTTTTATTTCATAATCTAAGTTGATACACACAATGTTCTTTTTTTATTCTTTTTTAGACTCCTGTGATAATCCGGCACAGATGAAAAGTAGTGAAGAACCAGGAACTTCTCCATTTCTTCAAAATGGCCCCGATGAGAATAATACAGCACCATATACTTTTATGGAAACATACAATCTACGAAATAATATATGGTCTCCTTTTTATCTTGTAGGTAAACAACCTACAGTCAACAAAAATTTTAAAGTTATTTTAAGGATTGGTGGTAAGAAATTTCAAGGTCAAGGTTTTAAAAAAAGTAATGCTCAACGTAATGCGGTAAATAAGTTCAAGAATAATATTTTATATCCTCATAAAGAGAGTGAAAAAACAACTTTTATAGAAAATATAAGGATGATTGGAAAGAAATCCAAAGCTGTAGCAAACCGCCCCACATTCATTAAGAAGTTGAATAGTAAAGACAATTTTTAATGGTAACAATGGTACTGTTACCATATTTTGCTGAAGTGTATGACTATACATTTTCTTCTATCTCTATTATAATTATGTAAATAAATTAAATAGTTCACATATCATGTGATTGTATTAACTATAAAAGTGGCGTTCAACATCCGAAATATAATATATTCGCTTATAAGTAGTAAATTAAGTGGGCCGGAGAAGAAGTAGGGCCGGAGAAGAAGCAATGTGAGCAACAGTTCCTTCTCCGGCTCTCGATTAAACCGGAAAAAAAAAAAAAAAAAAAAGTAGTAAATTAAGTAGGTAATTTTTGATTATTAATGCTTGAGTTATTTATACATTATTTACTGTATATATTATGCAGTAATACAGTATGTTCAATGTACATTTATGCTCTAATTTAAATTTAAATTATTCCCCAGTCTAAAATATGAATATAGTTATGTAAATTCAACAGATTTTAAAATACATAGGCACATAATAGGTATATTAACCTAACCTATACGTCCATACATATTAGGTGAGTCTTAGGTACTATTAACTATATTAAATTGCTATCCAAGTGATGAAGTACCACCAGGGACGGGGATTCTTTCCCAGCCATCAAAAAAACATATAATGTTTTTCTTTTAACAATTAGGTACCTATTAAAATAATTCGACAGAAATAGACTTTATTTTTGATTATCTACAAAATGTGTATTCATAGGTGGTATTTTTATCTTTGTACAAGACTAGACCAGATTAATTGTCACGAAAATGTAGTTAGTTATCTAGTAACATTTATCTAATTTTATTCTAACTTTAAAAAAAGTTAACATTTATCTATAATTTTATCATATTTTATATTGCTGAATAAGATTAGGTTATGATTTTTCTAGCACAATAAGATTTTTTTCATACATAGTTTGATTTTAGGTGCTATGTATCTATTGAATATTATATAATTCAATTTCATGTTGAATTGCACCATTTTTGACAAGTTATTAGTTAGGTACTACTATTTATTACTAGGTATTATTAATTATTAATGTTGGTTACTTAATTATTGAAGTGAAAACTTCTTTAGGCACGTTGGGCACCCCGTATAAGAAAGCATTTGCGAGTGAGGAAAAAAGTATGATCTCGCGACACCGCCACCGCCACCTCGCAACGGCGAGTATATATATGTATTTGTTTGGTCACGTATAGCAACCGCGCGTTATATTTATATTGTTATATTTATTTTATATATATATTTGCAAGTGAGGAAAAAAGTATGATCTCGCGACACCGCCACTGCCACCGCGAGTAGATATATATACAGTGGTATATATATTTGCGAGCGAGGAAAAAGTATGATCTCGCGACACCGCCACCGCGAGTATATTATATAATGTACTGTGGTATATACATTAGTGCAGAGGTTCCCAACCTTTTTTGACTCGAGGCACCCTTGGACATTTTCTAAAAATCCGGAGGCTCCCTATGCTCTATAGTCTATACTATAGAGTACTTCGGTTCTATTTATTAGTTCATAAGTATAATCAAAAGTAGTAAGGTGTAGTTGCATACTATATACATATTACATTTTATAAACAAATTATTACATTGTATTTATTTTTAATGAAATTGTTTTTTCTAAAAAAATATTTCAATTAATTTCGCAGCACCCTAAAAAAATTTCGCGGCACTCCAGGGTGCCGCGTCACCCTGGTTGGGAATCTCTGCATTAGTGTATCAAAGCTGCGAGCGCAGCAGACGGCAGTTACGGGAAAACAACAACGCCCGCCTGCATTATGTAAAATAACTGAAATAATTATGTATAGTATTTTATATTGATAAATAAAACAATTCGTGGTACATTATTTCCTAAGCACTACAAAATTTTTAAAAACGAAGTGAAATTGTTCTAGTATATATACACATACACGCTCACACTTAAGTATAACAGTATATACCACAGTATATATATACATGTACTCTCGGTGGTGATATAATATAATATAATATGACAATGACTTTAAATAATAATAATGTACGATATATTCCTGTATTGTAATATTATTATTTAATTTATATGAAAAATAACGTGAAAAAAAAAATGCAAAAAAGTCGGGTTTCGGGTGGCCGTAAAAAATGTACAATATGGTATTATTATATAAACTTTGCAGACGATAAAAATCTACCATTATTGGAATTTTTCAAAAATGAATTTGGTTTGAACATGTCAAATGATCGCAATCTTAGCACAACAAGATACAAAACTACTATTGATGCAGTCTTTACAAGATATTTGAATAAATTCGAATCAAAATTATTTGTATCATACTTTAGCTACCATAAACCGATTGTATCAGTTTTAGAAATTGGCGATGATGCTGGTGCAAGAGTTGGTGAAATGATGGATGGAAATTGATTTTTCTGAGCGTACTTTAACTCATTTTTGTAAAGCATTTGTAATAATTTTGACATGTAATTTTTTTTCTTTTATGTAAAATAACTGAAATAATTATGTACCTATAGTATTTTATATTGATAAATAAAACAATTCGTGGTACATTATTTCCTAAGCATTACAAAATTTTTAAAA